ACAATAACTCATGAAACTCTAATCATAATACTTATTGTCATTATCTGATCTGAGACAGACACTTCAACTCAAGCTTCTCATTCTCAATCATGATTTTTCACATTCTTAAACACTCAAATACATCAAATTTATGTTTCAAGCAGTACGCCGATACATTTTTTGTGCGATCATCAATAAAAGTGACAAATATTGAAAAACCTCCAATAGACTGAACTGAAATAGAACCGCGATCAGAATGTACTAACTCCAACTTCTTGGGCTTCAACTTTGACCCACTTTTAGAAAAAGTAACATTCCTTTGGTTATCATAAACACGATCTTCACAAAAATACAGATTTATAGATTTTAAACCAGAAATTTATTTTTAGAAAGTATGGACTTCATACATTTCTCCCATATGGTCAAGCATAAGGTGTCATAGACCTGCATCACCTTTTATTCCAACAACACTAATGAATTCAGACAAATCATTGATCAAATAAAGGATGCCGTCAATATTGCCCCAAGCCATCACTATTGCTTCTTTGGTCACCTTTCATGAATCGCCTATAAAAGTAGTCATATATCTTCACCTTACAAGCTGATTTATAGAAATCAAATTTATCTTCAAACTTAGAATCTAAATAACTTCATTGAGCTTCCAGATTGGTTCATTTGACACCCTGGTATCAACATCACCATTTCCAACAATATTATAGGCCTTGTTGTCTTTCAAAAACACTTTTTGTAAATCATATTGAATGTAATTTTTAAACATGTCTTCGTTGGGGCAAACATGAAAAGAAGCAACTGAATCCACTATCCATGAGTCAGTACCATCTAAGAACAAAATACAGGAGTCCCCTTGGATTTCATTTATGAAGACATATTGGCAGAGAGCTTTCTATCTGAACCTCCACCAAAGCATCTTAGAAGCTTTGTAGTACTTCTTAAAGTGACATTTCTTCCCACATATCTAGCATTCATATTTGTCTTCTCTCTGACCTGAACTTTCCTCTACTAGACTTGAATCTTTCTATGTCTATGTTTCTATCCAGATTTATTCCTTTGTTTTTAACCTTCAAAGCAGAATTTGAAATTTCACCACTTGCCTTCTTGTGAAATTCATTCAGCACTAACCATACAATGTCATCAAAGTGTAACTTCATATTACTTGAAGAATTACTCACCACAGAGATTAGTTCATACCAGTTGTCTGGCAATGAAGATAAAAGTAATAGTGCTCTGACCTCATCATCAAATTGATGCCAACAGAGTTAAAATGATTAGTCACAATGCTAAAGTTATGGAAGTACTAAGCCACTGAACTACCATCCATCGTCTTCAAATTGAATAATTTTTTCAACAGAAAAACTTTATTTTAAGATGAAGGTTTCTCATACATTCTTGTTAGTGCAATCATGAGATCACAATGTTAAAAGTAACAAATGAGAAAAGTGAAAGATGGATCAAAATTATGGTTTTTGCATTCACAACGTTTAAAGTAACAAATGAGAAAAGTGAAAGATGGATCAAATCTAGTGTTGTTCGATCAAAAACTTCTTATTATTCTAGAGTTGTCAATTCCGACTTATTGGTGATTCCTTCGAATGGCAAATACAATCTATTTTAATAAAAAAAATCTTTAATTTGTATTTTCCAGGAAGAAAATTTCAAACTGTTGAATTTCTTCATCTTGTACCACGCTTTGTCGGCTATTGTTCATACTCAAACCAAATATCTTCAAAAAATTCCATTGGATACTACTTGTTAAGAAACTTATGAGGAAATGAGAAACATTGATTTGAAAGATCCGAAGCAAAACTTAGAACATAAGCGCGCAAAGTGAGAAATCACAGAAAAATACAAGAAAATTAAGACTTAACGTGGTAAAACTCAAAAGCGAGAAAAAAATCACGGAGCCACACCATAACAAGAAATCCACTCTGAAAAATAACGATGATAGTATAAATTACACCACACTTAAGGCTCTCTACACTTTTGAAGCTCAAGGGCAATCCTTGCTCTCATTTGCACAAGAGAAATCTTGAAATCCAACTGTACATTCTAGCAGTGAAATCAAAATTTAAACCTAAACGGCTCAAAAAATGGTTACTAGTGCCTGGCGCACCCCCGAGAATTGGTTTGTCAAGCGCTCGGATTCCAAACATGTGTCGAGCAGGGTTGCGCCCTCCTAGGAGCTAGATTGTCGGAGGCTTGGTTTCTGAAGCTGAAAATGAGTTTGAATGGAAAAGGGGGTGCCACTCTGACACAGGGACACCCAGTTGGAGCATTAGAGCATCCATATTGGACTGTTTGTGAGCCCCATTGCAGTGCCTAGGTGCTGCATCCAAGCACAAGGGCGCCCAGAAAAGGAGATTCTTGCTTGAATAAACAGCTGATCACCTGCAATTAAGCTCCACATATAGCACAAGTGTCTCCATTTGAAGGTCTACATGCACTAGTAGAGACTACATAACCTACAAAATGCCCATGCTACAATACCTCCATAAAAAATAAAAAATAAAAGTTCTTTCTAATGAGGAGTTTTATGTTGTGCATCATAAGCATATCATAAGGTTCATAGAAAAGAATTAATGGTTAAGGTTAAAAACATTATGTGAGCTATCTTGTTTTTTAAGTTTAATGTGTTGTTTATGAAGACAAGTTATGCTAAGTGTTCATGTGCCATTTTATAATTTCCTTTGGCTATAGTTAATATTATAAATCATGTAGGAGTCTTCAAAGAATTTGACACCTTCAAATGCACATAAGTTTAGCATCATATCATATTATTCAAAAAGAAGATGTTAAGAGATTTCATATAAGGTCGAGAGAGAATGAGCAAATCAAGCTTCATATTTTGACACTAAATTATCTGAGAAGTCAAAGGAAAGCTTGTAATTATTATTTCCAATAGAATGATGGCCAAGGAAAGTACAAAGCCAGCAAAATTAATACATCAGCCCACAATTCAAAAGAAAAAGCAAGCCTTTGCACAAGCAAGTAACCACCAAATCACCTTCTAAGTTTAAATAAGCACTACAATTCATAGGAATTTTTAAATTTTTAAGTGAAAAATGTTGTGGATGGTAAAGATTGATTTTTTTTTTTTTTTTGGCTATAAGAAATTGTTAGGAATTTTTAAGTGAGAAATGTTGTGGATGGTAAAGATTGATTTATTTTTTTTTTTTTTTTGGCTATAAGAAATTGTTAGGGTGATTTTAAATGAAATTTACGTGTTTGCCTTCGCCTTCTTCCTCTTAGGCTTGGCGGCCAAGAGCATTGTTATTTGGTGAGAACATTTTTTACTAGTTGACTTTTAATTTTTATGTGAATTTCTATTCTCTCCCTCTCTAGTTCATCCTCTATCAATCTTAAAAACTCATTCCAGCTCCTCTCCAATAAAAAAATAAAAGATTGTCAAGCATACCCCCAACCGAACAAAGTAGCTCAGATCAAGTTTTGATTTGGCCCAAAGTTCGCCAAGCAAAACAAATTGAAAATTTTGTAAGAACTCCATATCAGCATTTCAATCATTCCCAAATTCTTTGCAAGTGTTTTAAGCAATAAATAAGATAAATTAAGTGAAATAATCTACATTCAAAATCTGCCAATTGGTCATAAATGAACTAGCCTTGTTATTTCTATCAGATCTCAACAATAATCCCACTGAAAAATTTACAATAAACTCCACAACTAATCTAAAATAACATTCTCACTGTTTCCGCATGTTTTAATGGAAAGAGGTCACCCTTGATCAAACTCTAAATCTATAAAACTTGCATGGTGCCCTCGGCCAAAAAGAGGTTCACCTTACTTGGCCTACCTTAACCTCTCCGCCACTATTCATATATCCTCCAAATCACCTCCCAAGTATTCCAAAGACACAAAGGCAACTTATACAGGAATAAAAAGCCATTGGAATATTTAAAACAAAGATTACCCCAATTCACATGTTTCAATATGGATCTTAGATGAGTGTTCCACTTCCATGAGTGATGGTGGTGTTGATTCAACATTTTGGTTTTTAAAAGTATTACTTTGGCGCTTATTTTAGGTGCATGGTTCTAGAAGCTAGCAATGTTAAGATTGATTAAAATAGCAATGCATCTACAATAAAAAAGTTTTATCATTTAATGTTGGGCAAAACTAAATCAAATTTATTAATTTTGAAGGACTTTTATAACGTTTTCCTGATGGATTATTTGGTTTAAGTATTAGGAGTGTAGAGTAAACCAAATGCAACGGTTCTGAAATTTCAAATATTTGGTTTAGGAAAACAAACACCTAGTAATTTGTGAGGCATTTTGAAATTCTTAGCTTATTTTCAGTGTATTTAGAATTTTCCCCATTCATAAAAATTTCAAATACATCGCACAACAAACCACTCGTGCGACTTCCCTACAATGCCTTTGCCCAGCACAACACCACTTCTCTATATTAGTAACGTTCATCGCAACTCGACACTTGCAAGTGACCTCTATGATAGGCAATGCTTACCACAACTCCACCATGCTCGCTCAAGCCTTCATATGCAACCTCACTCACACCAGCACCAACGATGCTTAAAACTGACAAAACCCCCAAACAGCTTGCATCACCATCCCAAACTAGTGATGTCACCCTCACTGTCATGATGCCACAATACCGTTTGCGATAGTCACCACCATGACCTCCATCATGCATCCATCCCAAAGCATGCAATGTTTTTTTTTTTTTTAAATTAATGTTAACTATTTCTAAAACAGACACATGAAAAAACCATTAAATTCCAAAAAAATGGTATTTACTTCACATTTAAAATTCTTCTAGATTTTAAATACTTGCAACCAACCCCTAGAATAATTGTTTCAAAAGCATATTGAGAATTCATGAAATCCCCTTCAATGATGCAAACTTGCTGCAGGCTATATGTACATAAAGCGAAATGATGAAATTGAGAATTACTTCTGCAAATCTCTGAAGAAGAAAAATGAGAAGCTTATTAAAATACAAATATAGTTTAATATTTGGCTCACCTTGCTCGAGGATCTCGGACAATTCTTTGAAGGCGTTTCACAGTTTCAATGTTATGAGCAAAGACGTCCAGCCCAGAATGGACAAGTTTGAACACAGCTTCTAGATCACCACCGAAATCAGAGGTTAGACACTCAACAAGTATTTCAGGTTTGAGATTCTGCACCACAAAAAATACCTCACGATAATTTTTGCAATACTAGTCACAAAGAAATAATTAACCTTGTTATAAAACAGAATAAGCAACAGCTACAAGAGCAGAAAATCAATTCATAAATTCCTCTAAAGGTTCTACCAAATAAACTGATTTATTATTTACATCAGCATATAAACCTTCAAAGCCTTGACTGTCTCTGCAAAGTGACCACTTCCACCATCAGATAAGTCATCTCGATCAACACTTGTCAATACAACATAGTCCACGCTGCCAAAAATATAGAACAATAGAGCAAAATATCCATTACAACTAGTTAAAAATTTTAAATATTAGAGAATATATTGTCTTACATTTAAATCACAATTACTAGATGATGTGTAGCAAAAAATGTTAAATTATCTTTATGTTTTGCATATGTTTATGGATGTAATTGCACTTTAAAGAAAGATATTTTATGTTTTTCATGGAGGGTATTAGGAGTGAAGCAAAGTGGGAAAGAAATGGAGCAAAATGAAGATGACTTGGAGCTATGGAGGACACAGGAGACCAACGCCTTGACGCCAGGATTTTTGGGCGCCTAGGCGCCAGTCCCATGCTAGGAACCCGAGAGGCTAGTGCTTGTGGGCACCAAGGCGCCACTACCCCCAGCACCTTGGCAACAGTATTTTTGGCGCCTATGCGCCCATATGAAAAACTGTAGACATAGAGCCTGGCTCCTAGGCACCAGCAACTGCCTGGACATTTTTCAACAGTTATTCCACACGATGTTGGGGGTTATTCACCCCGATAAAAGAGTCTTTGGTGAAGGAGAAAGAGTCATCTTCTCAGTCTTTGGTCAGTCTTTTGCTGTAGAAGAATATAGGGTAGAATTACTTGAGTGATTGGCGAGGAATTTGAGTTGAATTGTAAGAAGAGTTCAGATTAGCGGCAAGGGAGCAGGAAATCCTTGGAGGAGCATTATCAAAGCATTGTAAGGAGTGGAAAAGCTAAGTATTGTGCACTCATGTATTTGTATTTTCTGTAAACAGAATTTTACAGTGGATTTACTTGTTTTCAAAAATGTTTTGTCGTGTTTTCTCAATGCTTTCTGAGTAAACTTTTTACCTTTCCCTTGTGGCGATTAAGTAGGTAGTGTAGGGTTGAAGGAATGCTTTTAAAATTGTTTTTAAATCTTTAATGTGATGAGTAACCTTCAAATCTTCATTTACTTTTCATTTTGGCCAAATGATTAGTTAAAATGTGTTTTGACCCATAATGACTCGATAGAGCTATGGAAGAACAACTGGATTAGTCATGTTGAACTATAGGGTGCAAAGTACACTATAGGGATATGCAGATGTTAAGGATATAATCTTTGATGGGTTCAAATTGGGGTTTAAGGAATTAAAACAAGTTTAAACAAACTTCTTTATGCACTCGAGAGAGGGTAAAGAAGAGAGTTGCTTCTATTTATCACTAGCCTCATTTATAATTTCTAATTTTTCATTTCTTTCACTACACTTAAATCATTATAAGGGAGGAGGGCAATTTTACCACTTGATTGTCACCAATCCAAATCTATTTAGTAAAATTTTAGTAGGAATAAACCTTTGAGAGTAGTTTGTAATTCAGTAGGACTAGTTAGCATAACTTTAAACTAATTTACTTTCAAGCTAAGAACAAATTTAGTAGGCTAGAAATTTTCATAAAACTTAAACACCTCGTTCCCTGTGGGTTTGATAACCTAGACTCAAAAGTCTCATATTACAAAAGCGATACATACACTTGCGTAAGGCTCCAGAGTGCAAGTGGACTTGGACTTAAAAACCTCGTTCCCTGTGGGTTTGATAACCTATACTCAAAAGTCTCATATTACAAAAGCGATACATGCACTTGCGTAAGGCTCCAGAGTGCAAGTGGACTTGGACTTAAGTTAAGGCTGCATCAATAGACTAATATTCTATTTCAATTTGATATGAAAACTGATAATAACTAACGCAGTAGTAGTGTTGTCTTGATAGCACATTATCAACCTTTTCTCGATACTATTTGTTAGGAATAGGATAGAAAATAATGGGATATTTTATTTCTCTTAGTGGCTACCAAAATAGGACATTAGAGCTTACTTGTGGTATATTTTTTCCTTTCCAATGCATTTATGGATAAAACACCATCATCATCATCAACAACAATAACAACAACATCAACATCACCATCGTTTTCTAAACCAACTGGAATCATCTCCACTCATTCCAGTCATCCTTAATGAATCTTTCCATGAACATAATTTACTAAAATGAAAAATTATCTAAAAAAGATATTTTAAAATATACATCAATCAAGTAAGAGAAGTGAAATACTTACTAATTTTCAAATGTATTTCGAGAACTAAGGTTTAAGTGATGTGTTTGTCTTATAATTTCAAAACGCACAAAACAGAAACTCAACATATGATAATTTTTAGGTTACAGTAGGCTTGAATGGATGTTAGGAATTAAATTAGTTAAAAAGGATTACATACCAAAATTGTATGTTGGAACTTATAGCATATTAGAAAAAAATTCACATATGTAACGAAAATAAATTTATCAAAAATATTTGATTAATTGAAAATAGACACAAGGCTGGTTGTATGCAAGTAGGCATGAGGCCAATTATAAAGAATAAATGCACAGGGAATCCTATCGATTGATTCCACACATGAAACTAGTAAATATTTAGTTATTTAGAATTGCACGGACAAGACTCAAAGCTAGGGCCTCTGTCTGGAAACAAAGAAGCATACCCGCTGAGCAAGAGGTCTTTGATAACCAGTACTTTAATCTTCCCTAACTAGTTTACAAAGGTCAACAAAAGGTTGAAGAGCATACCCCCAGCTCGCAATTGCCTTGGCGGTATTCTGAGGTTCCATGGGATCTGGAGGAGCAGGATTTCTGCTTGTTTTTACAGCACAAAATCTACAGCCACGAGTACAAGTATCCCCTAGAAGCATGATGGTTGCAGTTGCAATACCATCTCCTTCTCCTCCTGCCCCTCCACCGCCATTCCAGCACTGAAGAAGATAAATAAAATAAAAATGTGTTTATTTATGAGTTTAAAAGGCCTAAAAGCATGGAAAAAATATACATTACATATATACTGCAGTTTTAACTATAAACTTTGAGAAAGCAGATGCAAATATATAGCAAGATAACCAAATTAAAAGGATCACCACAAGTATAAACCCCATGAAATGACTCCACGAAGTTAACCTACAACTTTCATACCAACAGCCAACTAAACATCTGAGAACCCACAACCTGGTCCATAGAATAACATTCAAAAGAAACAAAGTTTAACAAACAGCAAAATTGCAAGCTTTCTTGCATGCATCATAGAAGCAGCCAAACCTTCTTGCCAACCATCCCATTTTCTTCCAAACTAAGACAATTAAGACATTTTAAATGCAGTATCTCGCATACAACAACAAAAACCACAAGCCTTTATTCCACTAAGTGGGGTCGGCTACATGAATACATCTTCTCCATTGTGTCTTACTGGTAAATGCAGTATCTCGCATATCAATGAAAATTTAACAGAAAAGAAAATTTATTCATCAAATTAAAATTGAAAGGCTAGAAGCTAAGAGAAAGAAATGAGAGAAAACACATCCAACAGTTAAACTAAGAGGAAAAAGGAGCTAGATACATGAAAAAAAGAAAAAAACTTGAGAGAGAGGGAGAATGGATACATAGCACCTTCCTTTACTATGACTGCCCGACATTACGAAGCCATAATCCCCCAACATGAACACGTCATTTTTTCATACCACAATTTTGTATGTCAATTACGCATCAAAACAGCCGTTTTTGATATAAGCTAAACATCACCATCATTCAATGCTTACCTCCCCAATATTAGGGCATTGAGCCTCCACGCACACTGTATTTAGCTTTAACTCAGAAAGCGACTCCTGCAACTTGGAAAACTTCTCCCCCTGTGGCGCCCTCTGACGGAGCCATCCCGGCTTCTTCACACTTAGATCTCTACCAGTATGCACCCCCATCCCTCCCGGATACATCGAGGCCTTACCCGATGAAAGAGCGGCGGAATCGAAAAGCGTGGAAGGCGGCATGCTGGAGCTCGTTTCCACCGTCTCTGAGGTATCAACGGAATGCGATAGAACTACCAGCGACCGATTAGAGAAGCTTGCGCTTCTGGGTTTGGAAGAGAAGACAGGAATCGGCGAGATGAAAGGATTGGCAAGTGATTTCTGAAACATTCTCGATCCTGTAAAGTGGGATTGTTCAAGAGCCTTTGATGCAGGTTGATGAATCCGAAAAACCAAAGCCCTGAATCTCGCATGTCAGAATAAGGTTTGGAAGAGATGTAATACACCTCACGCTGATCACTGTTGTGATGATCGCCTGGTAAGAGAGGAAAACGGAGAATTGGAAGAGAAAAAGATGAAATTTTGCTCAGCCTTGCAAGAAGCGAGTTTGTCAAAGTTTTGGGCCTTTACATGAACACCTACCAAATAGTACGTATTTACATTAATTAAATCTTTCATACCATGCCAAGAATATCACTAATTTGCTTTTAAAAAATTAACATACATCTTTCTATGCCTGGTTTAAAAGAAATGGTCAGAGGCTATTAGATTAGGCCCCAACCACCCCTAATGTATCTAAATACTCGAGTACCACCCTCTATACAGTCATCATAGCAAGTGAGAGAGATTCGAACCCCAACCAGATGATACTTACAATTGATTAGCAGAAGCCAACTGACAGGTCGGAGCACGTGGACTATTGGTTCGAATCTCTCTCAGTATATTTTGTCTGTCTGTCTGTCTGTCTGTCTGTCTGTGTGTGTACCTCCAGTCGTGGACTGTTGGTAAGCAGTATCTTTGAAGGTCGCAAATCCCCTCAGTTCACTAGTTTGAATCCCCATCTGACCACTTTGTTGGTAGTGAGGGCGATCCTCGAATAATTTGAAGTTTGAATATTAGATATATAAATAAATAAGAATTAGATGATATATAGGTAATCTTTATTTTATTTTTTATTTATTTCTGGGAACTTGTTAGGAAATCATGGTGGGTTCACATGTATTTTGCATATTTAATATATAAATTTTATTTTTTATATTTATACCACAACAAACTTCTATATCACGTCAAAATATCACTATTTTAACTTTCAGAAATTGAGGTACAATTTTTAATACACAAGATGACTGCAAATAAAAAGTAACATTTTTGTATTGGTCATGTAAATACATAAGAATTAGTTGATGTGTATGTAAATTTTTTTTTATTAATTTTTAATCTCAATTTCTAAAAATAATTGAATTTTTAAATTTTTTGTCATTTACATACATAATACTTAAATTTTATATAGTTATATATTTAATATCTAAATTTTCAATACATGCATAAAACATTCAAACCTTTAATATTATATAAAAAATATTCATATTGTTAACTTTTAAAGGTATAATACACCCTTTCATGCTGAGATTTATGTCAGCAAGGTGTTATAAAGACCAATAATAAATTTTAAGTGTTAAACATGTTAATACATAGGAATTGTGTACCATGTAGATAATACACCCTTTCGTGTGAATCAAACGTTTAGTCGACATTTTGAAAACGCTGCCGCATTTATAAGCAGCCCCAAACGGGCTCTTAATCTAACCGGTAGCGAGAACAAGTCCCTCCACCTAAGTAGCCCAAACAGTGGGCGAATAATCGCCCTTTTTTTTACTTTTATTTAAATTTTCTTAACTTTAATAGAAAATAAGGAAGTTTTAAAAGTTATTTTAAAAAGGTAAAAAAAACTTTCAAATTTTTAATTAGAACAAACTCATATTAATTTTATTTAGAAGTTTTATTGAGATGTTTGTTTAAAAATAATTTATAAATTTTCTTAGAAATTTTTTCTTATTTTATAATTTTAGCATTTAATCTTTAATTTAGGACGAGTGACTTGAAACTTGGAAACAAAATGTGAAATGAATAAATCGGTGGTAGGTTTTGTGTGGCTCCAGTGGCAGATAAGATTAGAGATAGTCGTCTTAGATGGTTTGGTCGCATTAAACATCGATTATGAGTGTCGACTCTGTTCGTTTAAGTTATGGCTGGAGGTATGTATGATCCTATCTCGTTTCCGCTAATCGATTTAAAAATTAATTTTGTAAATCGAATATGGTATAGAGAATATTTTACATTTGGTATCAGAGCATTGATTAACCTCTGCCTTACTTACTATGTTTCACTCTATGCTTAAATCTTGGTTGAGATATTAAGGTTAATGTTCGTTCTTATTGCCCGTTTTTGTGAAAATGTTTTGATTTTGGGGCATTAGATTTTTGACGTTGTTGATCCAAAATAAAACTGGAAATCATGTTGAAATTAAGTTTCTAAGCTTTTTTTGTGATTTAAACCATTGATTTTGGCTGAGAAACCGTTAAGTTTCTCATTTGGAGTCGCGAGTCTGAACCGGGTCTAGATGACCCGGCTGAAGGA